AAGATTACTGTATCGTGGCGGTATCAGTAACGTGACCATTGTTACTGGTGCCACATAGTCATATTATGTATCAAGTGCGTTGATTTATGTTCAGGTGTCACATTTGCATGAATTTCTCTGGGAATTGGCATTGTGCATGGTGATTGTGGAGGGTGGAGGTCAGGCTGCCTGGCAGGGGCTGAGTGCTCTTGTAGGAAGAGGCTCACAAAAGAAAAGTCTGTCCCTATAAATAGGACTGATGAATGCTTCAATAAATTAATCTGTTTTCCACTCTTACATGGAAACAAATAGCTTTTAATATGCTTAATTTCAGATTTGGTCATAGTGCCAATCAGTTGAGTCTAATTAAAACTAATTTTGGAAGTCTGTCAAGAGTCAGGTCTGGTAATTTGAAAAGGAATCTTGACCAAATTAATTAAACGTTGAACTTACTCATGCATTCGTAATAATTTTTGCTTAGTCTTTTTACTCATGTTGCATTGTAAAAACATTGCTTTATAAATGTTTTGTGTATTTTTTGGGGCTTGGAGATTCTTTTCTTGGAAAACAAGTTTGACATGCTGCCACTTCTTATTTCTTTAAAGCTCTGTAATCACCAGAATTTTTCAATATCCTTAATCTGGTTTGTGTGCTATACACACATATATAGGTGCATGTACGTGTACAGCCACAACTCCTAGGGCTTGCTTGTCTTTTTCAGCAAATTTGCTGAATTTGCACCTCGCTAAGAGCTGGAAAACCACTTCCTTTTCCTTTTGTTAATGTCAGTTTTCTGTAATAACTCCTCTGCAGTATGAAACCAAGTATTTAGTGTTGACTTCCAGGCTTATAGTTAATGTCTCTTCCTGCGATTGTTTAAAAAGGAATTGAAAAGGTTATTGTATATGCTAACTCCATTACAGGAGACGTGGTAGTAATAATGTTCATAACAGTCCGTTGATTGATTTCTTTTGCCAAGTTGTTGAGGCTAGTGTTGCCTTAATGTGAAAGGTCAAAGGAAAAACAAGATGTTGAAAGTATGTGTTTTAAAGAGCAGTATGTATTAACTTGAGGATGTGCTACCTAAATTTATTAAAAAATTCTAGAATAGAAAAAAACCCCACCAACCTTCTCTAGAAGTTATTTGATGTTTTGACATACATTTCCAAATATAAGTTCCTCTTACGCTCCTGAACTGGTACCAAATTAATGGTATAGTTGAACATCAGGTTCACCTAGATACGTGACGTGCTACTCGAAGAAATACTGACAGTTCATTCAAGCACAGAAAACTCCTTGCGGACTGTAAACAACGGGTAATTTCTTAATGAAGTTCATAAACTGAACTAGGAGATTACATGTTGCCATCATAATGACTATCCTGATAGAAATCATCTCATTTCTCTCCCTTGCCCTGGTGTTTATCAAGTAGCTTCTTTCAGCGTTGCAGGTTAAACTTGTGTTTCTGTGTTACTTGTTTTAGAACTGAGTTCTTAAACTCGGCCATATTCTTACTCAGTTTATCAGGGAAACGGGTATAGCACTAGTTCCTTGACACCAGGGAAGGACAATAATGACATATTAATATTAGTTCACTAACGGTAGTTTTGCCATGTGCTTTTGGGTTTCTTTTTGTCAAACTCCTTGTCTTTTTGACTAAGTAAGTTTGGGCAGGAGGTCATTTTTTGCTTAATTGTGTCCTTTTAAACTTTCTTGAAAAGGCCACAGAGCTGTGTATATTGGAGTTCACGTCCCATTTGGAAAGCAAGGCCGTCGAAGGCATAGACATCGTGGGCACAGGCATCACAGGAGAAAAAAAGAAAAAGAAACCGACAGAGAGGATGGCCGAGAATCTCCATCGTATGGTAAGAAATCTGCCGTGTGAGTTCTTGGGGTCTCTTGAAAATGAACTTGTAGCAGTTACTCTCTGCTTAAATGTTGGGTGTTTTGTGCTGTTTCTTTTATTCTCGCTGTAATTAATGTCTTCCTGTGTACAGTCAGGCAAGGGTTTTGTGGTCGTGTTTTATCTAAACCATAAACTGTTGGACTTCATCCAGGTGTCTCTGCACACACTCAGCAGCCTTCGCTGAATAGCTTAGACTAGAGCTTTGTAATATTCGCCTGGAGTGTAAAAATCTGTTATTTAAATGAGACGCCTTTTTTTCAGATTGTGTAGTCTTTTATTATTCTTCCTCTGTCACTCAGGATTTTTTGAAAGTATCAATATAGCTGTGAAGCAGCATTTGACATGGTAATTTGATCCATGATCTATTAAAATATTTACTTCAGCCTTCTTGCTGTCTGTTAGTAACGGAATTGTACTGCCTCCTAAGTTTTAGTCTTGGATCAGACGCCACCCTCCCGACCCACCCCTTATCGTCAAGAGATGATGACTTTGTCATGTCATTCTCTGAAATGAAATTATCTGGCACTACTCTTAGCAGTTTTTCTTCAAGACCTCAAACCCACTTCTATCCCTAGACTGTAATGAATGGGAGAGTTATGGTGCAATGTTCTACTTCAGGTGTGGCCACCATGCTATTCATGATCACCTTTCTGTGACTTGAACCGTGTTCTACATGGGGCCAGTTCCCTGAAACAAAGGTGTTTCCAAATGGGAATGCTTTGACAAGTCTTCTTTTACCATTTTCCTGCAGTTCTTAGTTTCATCCATCTTCAAAATTTGTATTTGTTTCTGTCAATCTGTTTTAGTCCATACCCCTCTCCTCCCGCTTTAATTAGTGTCTGTGTCATGATGGTATGATTTATTTTGTACTCAAAGTGAGAACAAGGTTTCTAGCTCTTTGGTATATCAATTTTTACCTTTTTACCGATTTTGCTGTTGATGTTTATTTTCATATTGTTAATCAATAGAAGAGCTAAAAATACTTAATTGTGTTACGTGAAAATAAATTTCCAGATGCTTAGTTTTCAGAAACAATGAAAAATTGTAAAAAGACCTCCTTTTAAAGAAATATCCATGTTTCTTTTGTAAGAGGGTATCGTGCTGCATATTTGTAACTGAGAGCAGGGGATTTAACTGCTATGTGGTGTTTCTTGCATAACAGAAGTACGAAGTCTTTTAATTGTTCAGTTTCTGCTTTTTTTCAAGACACACCATCCCAACGAGTGCAGTTTATCTTGGGTACTGAAGATGATGATGAGCACATTCCCCATGATCTCTTCACTGAAATGGATGAACTTTGCTTCAGGGATGGAGAAGAATATGAATGGAAAGAAACGGCTAGGTATGCTGAAAGTAGATTAGGAGTTGTTCACTCACTTCACGCTCCGTAAATCAAAACTTTGGAAGAATCAATATGGTTTCTGAAGAGACCCTCAGTCTTACTGGTGCTGTCTTGACTTTCCTAAAACTGATCATGCTGAGCATTGTGAAAGGTACAACTGTGTTTAGTTATAAAGACGGGAGTTCAGCCATGGAGTAGGGTATTTGCAGTCTCAGGATTCTCTTTGCTCTATTATTGCTGATATATTAGTGTCAATTTTTTTTCACTCAAACCTAAAGAAAACTGGGTATTTACATATGTTCTTCTTAGGTAGTATTTGATTAATTTTTTGCTAATTACGTGCAACGTTACAGGATGCCACAATTATTTTTGGCCCACAATGGTTAAGTTGCTTCCTTCTACATATACATTGTAATAAATTCTTCTGCGTTCGATATTTCTAACTACCTTATTGCATGCTAGCTTTTGCAGAAATTCAGTTTACATAATGCCTGTAAGTCAGGATCAAGATCAATTTATAATTACATGTATTAGTATTACCTAGCTCTTAAACGTCTGACTTGACACCCTAGGAGACTTAAACGTGGTATACAGTGTGTTTCAGACAGCTTTCTAATCCTAAAATGCTGGTGAAATTGAGATCTGCAAACCAAGTAACAAGACACAATCCCACACTGTTCACAAGAACTTGTGAATAAACGAGTATTGTTCAAACCAAAAGAAACAAACTGGGTGAAAACTAAGACAGTTGAATGTGGTTAAAAGGCCTGATAAAAGTGTTGTTGCTGTCAGTCAGTTGGGTTATCTGAGAAGATAGAAACCAGTATGAGCTGTTGGGATTTCCTGTTCCGTGTCATACGGAAGCCACAGGGAGGAATGGGATTGCTTGCCAAATCGTCTGTCTTCCAGGAGAAATATAAATATGTGTATGTATATGCATTTCAGGTGGCTGAAATTTGAAGAGGATGTTGAAGATGGTGGTGATCGATGGAGCAAACCTTATGTAGCAACTCTGTCTCTGCACAGTCTCTTTGAACTGCGAAGCTGTATTCTTAATGGGACGGTCATGTTGGACATGAGAGCAAACACACTAGATGAGATAGCAGGTTGCAGCAAAACTTTTTTTTTAAAAATATTTCATTTCTAAATTTTAATCTATAAGTTGAGATGGTTTTGGTGGTGTCTTTTTATGTTCTTGAAAATACTATATTGAAGAAACAGGTATGTGCATGCTTACTGCGGTTTTCTTCATCTGGTTGTAAAGAGCTGATCCTACAAACATCGCTTACAAGGAGCTACACTGGATGAGTAGGACCTCCTTTATTACATATTTTAGGATGAGGCCCAGAACTTGCCTTTATGTTCTAATCCCTGAATGTGTTCTTTGTTTCTACAGATGAAATGTAAATATCTGCCAGAACATTTTAGGACTTATTTGTGCACTTTAGTACCATAATTATTAATCATAACTTGGCTGGTGCTAACTTGATGCCATTAGTGCAGTTGATTGTTGCACATCTGATATTTTTTTCACCTTTATAAGAGGTGAGCAGAAGTAAATTTTGTACATGTTGTTTGACCTACTATGTTGAGTGTCCTCACTAATCACACGGTCATTTTGGATACTGTAAAATCAGCTTTGAAGACTTTTTCATGTGTGTATATATATATTTTTTTTATATATATATCTGCTTAGCCTGAATGCTTTTGAACTAGTTTTACATAATTTTCCTGGTATCTCTTGCTACAGGTACCACACAGTGGAATGCCTTCTCAGGAATCATGCTAGGCTTAGGGCTGACCAACATGTATGTGGAGGACGAGGTCTTTTGGCATTAAAAACTTTGGCAGTGCTTGAAATGTTTCCTTGTTTTGTTTTGAAATCCTCGAAATTCACTCAGGAAATTGGTATTCCCTTCCTATTTTCCTGACTTACTGAGCAAGAGTGTTCAATACGTGGTTTGTAAAAGTAATGTTTTGGTTTATAATTTATTTTTAGTAGTTGAACTTGGCAATAATCTTAGTACCTAAGAAAAATAGTTATTGCTTAATTCTGCGTAAACAGTGCTCTTAATAGCAGGTATTTTAGTTGAAACTAGGATATCTTAAGAGATTGCATGAATTTGTTCCAAGTTAATTTTAGGTGCCGTTACGACGCATGTAGGATAACAATCCTTGGCATACAAATATATTGTCTTGTTTCTGTGAGCTGGGAATACCTAGTAGGTATTCTTGGTTCTCAGGAGGGAGAGTGTGGTTTCCTTTTGAGAAGCTGTAACAAAAGGCCATGTGTTGCCGGTAATCCCAGAAGGAAACTGCACTCTACTGACAGAGACTTTGCTGCATCTGATTTTGTTTGTAAGAAGGTCTTCTGAGCCATAACCTTTGTCGTTGTGAAAAGTGCTGTGGAATTGCAGTTCACCAATACAGTTAGGTTCTCGATACATCAGTTAAGACTGGCAAAATACATTTTAAAAGTTGTCACATAGGTTCGTGTTGATTTGTGCAGGTTTGGGATTTTTGTTTTCTTGGTTTTTGGTGTTTTGTTTGTTTTTAATTAATTAATTAAAACCAAAGTCAGCTAAGAAATCGCAGCAGATATTTTCCCAGACACGCAGGCTTTCTTTCCTGGTGTGAGCATACTGATGAGATACCCTTTCGAAACTTGATGTTGTTTGGCAGCTGGTTAGTTAGTTTTAGATGATGTAACTAGTTTTTGTTTTACACTTCCTCTTCTAAAGTGTGTGAATCGCGTGAAGTTTGGTAGAGAGCTTCAGGAACTTAGGGCATCTGAAGGTGACAGAGGAGTTAGGGAATTAATCTCATTCTATAGTAACTTTCACTTTTGTATAGCTGTATACGTTCGAAATAGGGAACACCAGGTTAAGGCTGTCTTAAGTCTGTTCTCTCTTGTCTGTCTGTCTGTGTGTGCTCGCTTCTAGTAGAGGTTCGTTGAATACATAGATGTTTTTTATTTGAAAGGGAGGTGCCGTTGAAAGTTGAAGTAAATGGCAATCGATTATAAAATATTAAGTATTTTATTTCTTAAAATGGTGCTACTAATAAATACTGTCTTTTGGATCCACATGTTGTGCTTTACTTGTTCTCATGTTTGCTTGTTTAGTGACACTTTGAAAATTTTCTGTGGATTCTTGAGGATGACTTTGCTCAGGAGAAGCCTTTTCTTTTTTTTTTTTTTAAATAGATTTAATTTTTTTCTTCTTATTTGGTGCAACTACAGTGCTTGAGTATGGTGACGGAGAGATTTGATAGCTATATGTATAATTTTCATTTGTTGTTGTTGTTATTATGTAGATATGGTTTTGGACAACATGATTGCTTCGGGCCAGCTGGATGAATCCATAAGAGAGAATGTGAGAGAGGCTCTTCTGAAAAGGCACCATCATCAGAATGAGAAAAAATTCAGCAGTCGGATTCCTCTGGTTCGGTCTTTTGCAGATATAGGCAAGAAACATTCTGACCCTCACTTGCTTGAACGAAATGGTGAGATAAGTTATAGCGTCCAGTTTGTTCTAACCTGTTTAAAATAATGTTCTCACTGGGAGGTGAAGGAAAATGCAACTGATAATAGCAGATAAGTGTTTCCTTCTTGATAAGCAAAGAACTAATGATAACAGTGTGTGCTATGTGTAGCTGTGGATGATGTTTCTGTGTATTTTTTAATTTACTCAAACATTCTACTCCTGCTTGTATACATAGCATGCATTATTGTTGTTTTGAAGTATAGAAATAGACCTTCATCGGTCCTAATGTGTTTTAGGATATGATTGAATGAAATGTGTAACGTTTGAGGAATTTCAGCATTGTGGCATAGCTTTATATGTTTGTCGGATGGATCCTACTTGCTTATTCAGTCTTTAAACTAGTGATTTACTTTGTGGACATGTCATGAGTTCAGTGATGCTGACAATTACCGTGTTTTAATCCAGTGTTGTTACGTTAATGTGAACAGAAGTTGTTCACTATGCTAATGGTGAAGAAATTACTTTTAGCTAGAACACTATTTTTACCTTCTCTTGTAGAGAAGGATCTAACCCGGGGAGGGGGAACGGGACACGACACCCCCAAACCCAAGAAACTTATTTTGCCATAATTTTGTATGCTGTACCACATCTTTTATTCAACAAATTCCTGAAAATATTCTGGAATATCAGTGCATTTACTCTAGACATCCAGTTCCAAAGTCCCAATAGCAGTATATACTGCAGAGCATCATACTTTTATTTGTGTATTTCTTATGGCCTCTATTTCCATCTCTGTTCTCTCTGTTTTCTTTTGCCTTGCATTAACTAAGACACACAGGATTTCAACTGAAATTTTTTAGTCTAGTGAAAACTTAGTACTGATTTCGTGAATCACTCCTTGAAGTGAAGTGCCTTTCCTGTCTTGAAAGATGCCTCATTGCTTAGAACATGTTCCACTTAGTTAAGTGCTTGTTGGGAGCTCTCAGTTCGATACGTACTTGGAGTGTGCTCCAGCAAATGTCCAAGCTTGCTGATACTTCTTGCTAGCTAGTGAATATATGATGCATGCTTAAATAGTTCCCTGATAGTTTCAGAATTATTTTTTCTAGAATGAAAATATAACTAATTTGTATAAGAGCATAATATCTTCCAACACTTCTGACTTTCCCATTTTGTTCAGTACACATGAAGATTCCCCATATAAACTTGTTTTACCCATCCCTGAACACCTATATCCCGAATTATAATTCTAAGAATTCTGTCTTTGAGATCTCTTGCTTATCAGTTACTTTTCATGTATCAATTCCACTTTCCAGTGCATTTTATTCTTAATGCTGTTCCTACAGCAGAATATGGGAGTATGCTGAAATAGGAAACCAATGTAACATGATGAACTCTTTGCCATTGTATACTGGTTTACTTTTTCTCTGTAATCCTGTGATTATCCTCTAATAAACCAGTAGACAAAACATGCATATGTGCTTAATACTTTTTAGGCTCCTTTTTACACCATGCATATGTGCGTAATACTTTTTAGAGTCCTTTTTACACCTGTCTGTGTTAGGACATCTCACGTTCGTGATTCATCACAGATACACTGACAGGAGTCTAGTTATTACTGTAGTGATTCATATAGACAAAATCAACCAGTTTGCTCTGTTGGTCCACTTGTCTTTACTGCACTGCAGTTTTGATAGTTGATCTTTGAGGCTTTCGGTCTTAATTTAAATCTTGTATCTGTGGGATCCACTCTGCCATTGTTGGTGGGGGGGAAACGTATGTGACCTTTACCTGGGCATACTTTCTGCGCCTCCTTGTAAATTATTCTAGGGTTGTTCAACGTATTGGTCTCTGTAGTGCCTAGTATAAATGTGTGAGACTAAGCGTGTCTAGTTTGCTGTTCCCTTGCTTGATGGCATGGTACGTGAAAACAGCACGCTTTTGATTTCAGGGATTGTAGGAGAAGTAATCTGTGCTCTTCCCATGGAGACTGCCATCCCAGAAAAAGTGTTTATGGTAAATGGGAGGAATGATATCGCTAAACCTTCGAGTGGAAGCACTGCTAGGAGGATAGACAGTCTCTCTTCCTGCTTTAAGGAAGAACTGAAATCCATGACAAACTTAAATCTGAGGGAACCACGACAAGACTGTGTTCTCTTTAAATGAAATTAGTGAGACGTTGAAACTGGATAGGGCAAGGAAAGTGATGATGGATTTTGGAGAAATGCGTTTGGTTTTAGGCAAATGGGGGTATTTGGTAAGTCATAGCAAGAAGAAATGGAGAAGGGACTATGTATCTCATCCCCATGCCCTCTTCAAAAATATATATTGAGAGTACAGCTGGCTAGGAAACTTGTTACTAAAACAAGACTTTCATTGGAAGACAGTTGCATTTAACACGATTAGATACATTTGATCATGTTAATTTGGAAATATTTTAATTTTTAAAACAATTCTTTGTATATAATGGAGGCGATTAACTGTGAAGTCTTGTAATGTTTTGGCTGCTAATGATTTTTTTAAAGTATTTTTTGGATGGCGTTAAAGATAGCTGCTGTGCAATTTGGAATAAAATTCTTCTAGGGAAATTTAAAAGTCAATTTCAAAAGATGCAATTTTTTTTATTTTCTGGTTATATTAACAGATCTTACTGACTTTAAGATAATATCTTCTCCCACATATCTTTGGCGTTCTGATTAGTACTCATCAGTATTTTTTGATTTTTCTAATGTCTGAGATCAGATTTGCTCTCATTTCTTGTCTTACTTGCATGAGTATGATGCTTTTGGCCCGTAAAGCTTGCAATTTACTATGTAAATTGTTAATGCATATTTGTGGTTTGGTTTTGGGTTTGTTTGTTTTGGTTTTTTTTTTAGTATATCCCTGTTGTAAGCCTCATGGTGTTTCATTTGTTTTATCTCAGGGGAAGGCCTTTCAGCCTCCCGCCACTCTTTGCGAACAGGTCTCTCTGCTTCAAATATTTCCCTGAGAGGAGAAAACCGTTTGTCAGTTCTTCTCAATTACCTTCTTCCTTCTTCAAGAGCTGGAACCCCGGCAACCTCAAGGTGTACAACCCCCGTAACCACCCCTCAAAACACACCACCCTCCAGTCCTACCTGCAGCCACCCGCCTACCACAAGTGCCCAGCCAAGTCTGCTTCAGGGCAAGGAATTGCTGGTGTCTCCTGCCAGTGATGATATTCCTTCAGTAATAATCCACCCACCTGAGGAGGACTTAGAAGTGCAGGAAAGCCAGGAAAAGAAGACAGAGGAAAATATTGACAAAACACCAGGCAACTATTGAAATTTAAGCTGTCCACGTGTGATGCTCTCTGCATCTGGATCACTTGCATTGCAATGTTTTGGGCACATAACTTGGGCACAAAGGAATATGATAGCTGTTATCTCTGCCTGCATGTTTTATTTCTTCTCGGTTGTGACTGTTTTGTTGTTCAGCGTTTTTAACTTTTTAGCTTTTAACTAAAGCCAGCAAGACAATTCTTTAATTAACCTTCATTTGTGTAATTAAAAAGGAATATAGTTTTAAAACATAATATATAAGCAAAATGTCAAAAATGGTGGCCTTTTCCTTTCACTCACCTACAGTCCGTGTCAGGTTTTGTTTTGTTGTTTTTGTCAGTGGTCGAATTAATATTTTAAAGCAGTGTTTGATATCTACAGCTGAGGACGTGGTGAACTATTAGAGATGAATATGAAAAGGATTAGGAAGGATGTGATTATCAGTGGGGTTCGTAGTTTAGTTGTGTCATGAAGTCTTTAAGCAATTTTATTTTTGCTTTTGTGCTTTTAAAAACCAGGGCCATTAAAACCAGTAGTAGTTTATGATGGAACCGGCAGATTCAGGTCACCTACAACTGTTTCCAGACAGCCCTCCATTAGTGCGCTGCTTCAGCATCAGACACTTGATTACTGTTTTGTTGCTTTTGATATGCAAAATGGGACAAGATAGTTAAGAATTTATAATTGCAGGTCACAGCTCAGCAGTATATTGATTTCTTGTCTTGCAAAGCTGCTGTTCTTACATATAAAAAGGTACGTAGATGTATAGGTAAGTTGAAAGAAAGGGTGGAAAGTTCTGACAGTTTATTGGTTTTAGGAAATGTTTCGTAACTCCTGCATTCTGCCGGAGTTTTCTACTTTTGCAAAATTGTCACCTATTTGGAGACTTCAGGATTCTCCTAGATCATGTTTTTACAGGAATCACCTTTCTATTTAGCCTTCAAGCTCCTCATTTTTTTTTTTCTTTTTTCCTTTTTCCTTCCCAGAAATTTATCTTGGCAAAACCTAGCTTGTAGGTTAGTCTGCTTTTTGCCTATCTGTATTGGAGGGAAGGGGAAGCTGATTTCACTCAATTCTTTCATCGGTTGAGGCTGTTCTTGCTTTCCTTCCTCACTTGTTCAGTAAGTAAGAGCACACTGTTGCATATAGCAGTGAAAATATGCTGACAGAGAAAAGGCTGTGGTTATCTGCCTTTTCACATTTTGCAGCCAAGTCACTGACAAGGACAGGGCAAACTATGTTGTCAGGCTGTCGTCTTGAGTTGGAGTAGGGGCCCATCCTTACTTAAATTCAGAAAAGCAAACAAAAAACTCTTTCTCTGACTTCCTTATGGGAAGTTAAGAGAATTCACATGAAGATCATTTTCTCTTGTGGGTGATCTTTCAGAGGTAATTAAAAACCAGAAGTAATGTAACAGCTGTAATTGGTTTTCCAGTTCTCATTTTTCTACACATGTGACAGGAACGACAGCATGCCAGACCCAAGCTCTTTAGAACCCAAGAGAAGGCAAACAAATGAAGATCAAGTACTTGATGCTATTATTATCACTAATAAAGCTTTCCACCAGAGTCTCCAAGTCATGTTCAGATTGCTTTTGTGCCTCAAGGGGATGTTTCTCATAAAGGAAAAATCTGAAGGGGATGATTTCCCAGTTAATCCATAAATAAAAGTCTTTCCAGAGGAAGATGAACACCAATAAAGATGGAAGACATTTTTGTTTTCTGGGTTTCTCCCCCCCCTTTTTTAATTCAAGAACTCATCTGACCACAGAAAGACACATTTTCCTTAGAGATGCCTTTGAAGACATTCTCAGGCTGTGACTTCAGGGCTGCAACTGGACTAATCTGGCTTGGGAGGCAGAAAGGAACCCTGAAGAGGAAGTCTTCTTCCTTGTATTAATGAAAAAAAAAAAATCTTCTTGGTCCATTCCACTATAGATTATGGTCTGTATTACCTCTCTAGTAATTCAGAATATTGCAACCTGAATACTTTTTCCATGTCTGTATGATCGAGTTGGTTTTGCCTCTTGTGAGCATTAGGAACTGTGTTAATTTTCTAATAGGTGGCTTGCTTTTGTTTAGCATTCATCTATCCTTGGCCTTCTGCTATTCAAGCTTTATTTTTTAGTCTTTATAAATAGGTGGAAGGTTACTGACTTTAACATGAATTACTGTAAAAGGAGGGAAGAGGAAAACGCTTTCAGTCTACCACTTACTTTTTATCAGCCAGTCATCAGTTCAAAATAAACTAGGCAAAGTCTTCTCTTTAACAATTTTTTTTTTTCTTTTGTCATCAGTTGAAGATCAGCTTTTGTTTTTCCATCTTGGAAACTGCTGAATAAAGAATTCTGTAGGTGGAGCTAGGAAGAGAGCTGTGTCAGAGCTGAACATGAGCGCTGTTAATTCACCAGCATCATTAAACTTTCTTAATGTCTGTGAACAGCAGCAAAGCTGCCTGTTTTAAGGGGTCTTTTTCGTTCACTGATAAATGTACTTTAAAACTGAGTAAAATAATATTTAAAACAGCTTTACTCTTACAATAATTACTTACGGAAGATAGTAATTCAGAAAAGGTTCTATATTTGCCTTCTAAGAGTAAATTTTTTTTTTTCCCCACATTAAGGCTGCATTGGAATTTATTTTTAAAAATGGTTTTTTATTTCATCAAATACAAATATGGTGTGACTTTTAAATACAAAGTTTTCTATTTCGTAAATTTTGCCTGTAGAAATGTAATTATATTGGAATAGTCATGCTTAAGTCTTGAACTCATCTTATTTCCCTAACTTTTTTTCTTTTTTTTACTCGAGCAGAGATGCGAGGCAAATGTCTGTATTCTTTCTGCTTTCTTTTTCCAATAGATAATGTCCGTTAGATTTTTTTTTTATGTGGTCACAGTATTAAATGAAGTTAGTTGGCTAGAAAATGCATATGATCTTTAGTGAAGGTGTAGTTATAAGTACATTAACCTGAGTGATCTTACTGAGGTTTTAATCCAAACTTACTCAAGACTCAATCCACTGTCATCTTTTGAAGGAGGCCGGTGGGGTATCTGCCTAACTAACAACATCAAGAAGAGCGCTGTGTGTATTTTTATTGATCCCCTTGATAGCTTGGTAAGACTAGATGCGTTTCTCTGTCTAACTCTGGAAAAACTATGAAATAGTCGTCTTTTTAGCAGTAGCCTCTGAGTTTGTATCTACTGAACTGGAGAAGGGAAGGAAATAAATTGTTTTATTAGTGTGAGATTAGAGGAAAAATGTTTTGCTGTTACAGATGATAAGTTTTTATTCTGAATTTCCCTGCAAATGTGAGATTGATTGATACGCATAATGAAATGCGGTATCATATGGAAATACTTGCTCAGGTCTGAAAACCTGTAAGGAGTGTTCTCATGTGAGCACAGCTGTCTGTCCAGCTGCAAGACCAACAGAAAGGAAAACTGTTTACAGGTGCTTTAGGGTCAGGCAAATGTTCCTGTATCAGTGCCAAAACTTGTGAACCTTAACTGTGACTGGTTGGAGAAATTTTGAAGGCAACCTTTTAAAAGAATTAGTATTGCTTTAGTACTGAAGTGATAAACTAGTTTATGCTAATGTAGAATCTTTATTCTCTATCCTCCTCTTTGATTGTCTCTCCGCTTTTTGTTCTAGTCTCTGCTTGCTCTTGCTCATAGGGCATTTGCGGAAAGTGCAAAATGATGCATTATTGCTCATTTTTCATCAGTCATTTAGATCTTCAGTTACCTGAATTATTATGTAGGGGGGGAAAAACGTGAAAAAAGTTTATATGTATAAACTAATATATTATGATCTTCTTCTGCAACAACTGTTTAATACTTCTGTTCCATTTCTAGTTCTACAAACGTATTCTAACATCAACTCCTAGGCAGTTAAATACTTTGAACAGCTGATTTCACAGGTGGTTGATTGCTGTTAGTTATTCTTGTGAATAATAAATACATCTTGGAGCAGAAGGGTAGAACGTGATGGGTTTCTCTTTTTGGTGTTTTTTTCTTTCTTTGTTTTTGGTCTAGCTAACTGAACATAGTACTTGTAGTGGTAGCTAATTACTTGTGCATGTTAAGATTCACAAAAGAAATTACAGCTTGTTAACTTCATTTGGTTTTTTCTTCAGGAAAAACTACCCACATCACTTAAATCTCTATGAACTGTAAGAATGAAAATTAATGGTAAAAGCTTGGACTTGCATGTTTTCCATTGATATGATGGCTCTTTGAAAGAGTTTTTTGGAAATAAATTTGAGGATCAAAGTGAATTCAAGTGTCATTTGAAATGCTAAAAAGTGTCAAATTGCTAAATTATCAGCATGGAGGGATGCAGGCAGTTATGCAGCAGTAATTATGATAGAACAATAGCCAAAAGGTAACCAGTGAGGACTTCAGTTTTATCTTGACTAGAGTGATACTTGAACTAAATACAAACTTTCTGCATGTAGTACAATGTTTAGACTTTAGTCTTTGTCTAGATGTGGTTTTGAAAGCATGTTAAAGCATGTTTTATCACCACATCTAAAAGGTCTAGTGTAGACAGGCAAGGCCAAATGCACTTCTAGTGCATGTTAAAGTAACAGGTAAAAGCTCTGTAATCCAAAAGATGGGATTTGGGCTTGGTTATGCATGCCTAGACCAGCTTTTAAATGATAGTTGAGTACGGTAACCGTGGTGCAACGTGGGGTTCGGTGTGTACGAACACCTGGGTTACTTGCCTTTTGCAGCCTTCACTGAACCTGCAGTTCAGTGTTGGTAGTAGTGTAGCAAGGTACGTAAAATGGTTGTGTCTTGGGGCAGACATTAGAGGGAAGCTATACGTTTAACTTGAGTAACTTCATTGTACCTGTCTCTTTAGCTGATGTGTTAGAGAGACCATTTCATATAGGAACATCTGGTCAGATCAATAGCTGGAGCTTTGGTCTGTTGATTGAAATCATGGTTTGCAAGCTGTCTGTCCTTCATGTGGTACGCTAGTTGCCTGTACAAGTTAGTTAACTACCAGGGTGTCATTCCTTGTAGTTGTAGCCTGAGGGCTTGCCGAGACTTTTTACAATTGAAATAACCGCTACACAGACTAGACAGCAGAGATGTTTGCTTTTTGTGTTTGAGGACTTCTGGGTATAGTGAAGATACTATCGACTAACTACTAGAGCAGTTATGATTAAAATATCAACAGTTGTTTTTTTTTTTTTTGCAGTTAAAGTAGCTCTTGTTGTCTGGTGACTGTTCTGCAAATGGCCATCATTTGGGCAGTACTTCATGTTAATTTTTTTAATTATGTCATTATTTTGACAACACAGCGACTTGTTAGTGTTGCATTTATGATACTAATGTAGGGCACTCTTACTGAATAACTTGCACATTTGCTTTAAGCAAGCTGCCACGTTGAGTTTCGGTAGTGTTTCACGCTCAGTTCACTTCATACACTGTTTTGAACTTACCTCCTTTGTTTTAATATAGGGCTCTTAGCATCTCCGCAGTCAGCACCTGGAAATTTAGACACTGGGAAAAGTGGAGATGTCAAAGGTACTGGGACAGGAGGAAGCAGAGAAAACAGCACGGTTGATTTTAGTAAGGTAAATAACATTAACTACCTTAACGTTTAGCACAAAATAATTATGCCACAAAAAATGGGGTTGTAACTTCCCTCTTAGTTACAACTAAGACATGTATATATATGCATGCGTACAAGTGTACACAAGACATATGTACTAAGACATAACTTGTACGTACAAATGTCAGAATATGGCGTAAGCTAAATGTGTCAAATGTCTTGAAACTCTTCCCGGTGGGACTGAACTTTGTTTCGTGTGATGAACTTTTCAGTATTTTGGTAACTTCAAGACTGCAGCTGCTGTACTTTCTCATGCAGAGGGAGATATTTTCAGATCTGCTATAAAGACTCTTATGAAAACAATTTTGTAGATGGTATTCTAACATTTTTTTCTGGGATTGACTTTTTAAGAGGGCTTTTAAAGGGGATTTGCTTTATATGTTTTATGAGTTTGCTGTACAAAAGTTATTGTACATCTTAATCATTAGGAGCATATAATACCAGTTTCTGAAGGAAATCTTGTATAATACTGTAAATCCCTTGTATTTCTTTCATAATTTAAATTTGCTGGACAAGTTCCATTATGGCTTTTACTATAAAACTCAGTCTGTAGTGTCATCTGTACTGTGAAACACTGTAAGAAATTTGGTTTGCCAAGTTAAACAATTATGCTTAAGGAAAGCTACCTTACGCTGTAGTTCTCATCTAATGATGGCAAGTGCCATATATTCCTGCTCCTCTGTCACAGTTTTTATGTTTTTGCTTGGCCTGTCCTTCTGTACACCTGCCTTGTCTCCTGTTGGGCAGGAGTCAGCCTCCTGGCACTGTAGTTGTGGCACACTTGGTGTGGGACTCAAGAGGCCATCTGTAAGTTCTCTAGATAGCGATGTACCTGGTGCTTGTGTGTGTGTGTGAACACAAGAGTTCATGTGCTGTACCATTTTCTAACGCTCTTCTGTAATTATGTACAGAAATGAATGTTAAGATTTTCCAACCATCGTGTTCTTTATGAATGAGAACAAACATATGAATTATTTGTCAAAATTATGACATATTTGAAATACGCAGCTGTGAAATAACTAATTGCATTCTTGAAACCATGTGTAATTACATGAACTCTCCTTAGTTAATTGTGCATAGATTTTTGTTAAGTTATGTCCTATCACGGAATGTTTGTCATGATAAGTAATATTAGAAAGGTGGTTATGCACTTTGGAGTCTTCTAGAATATAGTAGGTGATGGTAATTCTAACACTTAGAAAATAGTTTATTATTAGTTGGCTGGCTCATTGACATTTTCTACATACGTTTGTCTTTTCTGTACTGTGGGATATTTTTAATTTTGCTTTTTTATTTTTCTTTGTAGCATAAATGTCTAGTAAATACTGATAAACTTACATTTGTTAGCAGAAAGTCTGTAATATAAGGGAATAAACACTTGTTTCATCTTTGTATGAATAGGTTGATATGAACTTCATGAGGAAAATTCCTTCAGGAGCAGAAGCATCAAATGTGTTAGTGGGAGAAGTAGATTTTTTAGAAAGACCTATTATTGCTTTTGTGAGGCTCTCCCCTGCTGTGCTTCTCTCAGGTCTCACAGAGGTTCCGGTTCCTACACGGTAAATAAATGCCTGGAAGGTCTGGCTTTACTTATACAATAAGATGATAATATTTAAGATCTCTAATAGTTGTAAATTTTTATACATAATCTATTAAGCTCAAGAAATGTACACTTTGTTTAACGTGATGCCAGTCATTTGCTGCAAAATTTGAAGGATTGAGATCTGCCATAAAATTCTCTGAATGCTTTAAATATGTGTAATGATGCTGCTTTAAGCAAGTGCAGAAGTTGAAACTGGTAGCTGACCTGGAGTAAAAACGATGAGTCTTCCAAGCTGGTGTTGCCATTTTAAACATATATAATTCCCTTCAGCGTGACACAGCAGACACCAAGTCTGAAAGTCGGTCTAATCTGAAGCTATGCTGTTTGTATACAAATACTTTGTATATGAATAACCTAGCTGGTGAAAAGACTTACTTTTTTTTATTATAGGCCCAAATCTACGTGATTGATACTGGGGTAACCAGTCTGCAGCTAACACGTTGAATTAGTTTTCAGTCTGCAATATGCCATCCAGCCTGGTGCACCCACCCCTCCAAAATCAGTATGCTGTGGGTATATTTACCACAGATGGTCAAAATGTCAAAACGCAGGTCCCGTGGTGAAGGTAGCAGGTCATTTCATCAGTCATCATGGAGGACACTTCATTTTCTGTGCACATTGATGTATTGGGCTGTTCTGTGGTGTTTGGTATAAATATGTATATTTATGGTTTTTTTTGTGTTTTTTAAAATGCTTTAAAATGATCAGAGTGCTTGTTTATCTTTGTAATTTTCGGCTTATACACGCTAATGAAAGGGAAAAATAATCTTGGCAGTGTTCTTATAAATAGATGTGAGAATTTTCAGAGGGTAGTTGATATTGGTGCTCGTAATGTTTCTTGGGAAATTCCAAAATTTATGCTTACCGATTATTGTATTAATGTAGCTAAAGTTATGCTGTTGTAAATTTTTCAGAATGGTGTAGACTTGCAGATTTGGGATAGCATACTTGATTCTGAAGATGCACTCTTGGTTTCAGTTAGAGTAGTCAACTAGCAAAGGAAAAATAACATTGAGCTTTTTGTACTGTGAGGTGAAAGAAGGTGCTACTTTTTTCAAATGTGTTGTACTTAGGAACTTCATTTTCGTGGAGTATAGGAAGAAGGTCGTGAAAAGAATTACTGAGGTTCACCCTTTGGTTTGTATCCTTTTGAATTTATAAGATACTAGTCCTGTTCCAATTTCAAAAAAAAAAAAGAAAAAAAGTGGTAACTGTCACTGTGATTGGAAGTGGAGGCTGGCTGGCTGTTAATGTGTGCTGTGACCCACCCCCAGTTTGGATTCCCTTTCCAAAAGGTCACTTTTACCTTCTTCTGTGTTCAAAATGTGGGTTCCCTTCCTTTCACTGACACAGGACCAGGATATGCCTATATAAGTACGCTCAACCTGTGGCTTGAAGTATATCCGTGTTGTCTGTGGGTGTTGTACTCGATCACAGGGAGTGAGTGGGGTTTAACTCCTGTGAAGAGGTGATCCTCAGGGAGGCTACAACAGGTCGTAAAGCTTCTAGGCCCTCACTAAAGGGTCTTTGCCAGTGGGAATGTCAGAAGGGCTTATTATCTGGAGGGAATACTCATTGAGCTCTAGCCTGTGGCTTTCCACTACATTTCAGGCATTATAAGAAGCTGAAAAATTAGGCTTGATTAAGAAGATTTTGGAGTAATTTTGGTTCAGGATTAGAGTTCCTTCCAGTAATGACTTTGAAACAAGTCCTTTCTTAGTCTTGCAGCAGTCTTTAAGAGCTGAAATGGTGAAGAGGGTATTTTTACTTCATCAATAAATTTTCTTTAAACATTAGTTTGAAAGAACCCTTTGAGGATATTCAAAGGAGTCAGCCATATTCATCTCGATTGCTTTCTCCACAGGTTTTTGTTTTTGTTGCTGGGACCAGCAGGAAAAGCTCCACAGTACCATGAAATTGGAAGATCAATAGCAACACTTATGACCGATGATGTGAGTGATGTATTTTAAACACTTGTGGTTAAAGAAGTCTCAAATAATGTATTTACTGACTGTTTTCACTAAAGATATTCTGGAGTGACAGGTTAAAGAAAAAAAACCCAAACAAACTGGTTAAACAAAGAACTGTAAACTGATTTATTTCTTGTGTTAGTGAACAAGATAATGGTATATTAACTTTCCCCATTGCCTGTCTTGAAGAAATCTTAAATGTATTTCTGAAAAAATGTTTTAGCTTTGGTGTATAGATTTCATTCTTCTTTGAAAGTAGGAAATAGAACTATTAAATAGAACTGCATCTGATACGAGTCACTGTATGTTGAAAAGGACAGAGCGAACTGCACGAGTCTTCAGGACAAAATTTAAGAATGCGTGCGATTGAGTCATCGCAGATTTTTTTTTTTATCAAAGCGAGGTCAAATAACTAAAATTAGAATTTTACTAGGCGTTTGAAGTCATATGCTTAGAGCCCTGGTGGATGGTTTTAAAGAGCAGAGGGGAATCGGGACTTTTTAAGACTTACCGTCATCTTGCTGAGCAAAATTAGGATGTTGTAATTCTGACTTCGCATTGAGCGCCACCTACTGAATTGCTGATAATTGGGGTTATCTAGCAGCAATTCTGGTATTTCTTTATTCTAGAACAATTTAAAGTTTAGAAATGTAAACTGGAAATTGGTCATTTTACAATTGGGCAACTAGCCTGTGAATACAGTGTTTGTTCAGTGTCAGAACTGAATATTAAAAGCTTTAGTTGCAGCTTCTAATTCTTTAAGTAGGCTGATTTTTAGGAATACCGTAGATCACTGAAATAGAAAAATATAAATTATTCACTGGCCTCAAAAGACCTAAATAGACTTAAGAGATCTAATTTACAATTAGGAGACTTAATGATCAGGTCTTTGGAGACAAACAGTTTAGGTTTCAAGTGTACAGAAGCAATTTAGGATCATCTTCGGCAAAGAGTTTTTTTTTGTTTTTATAGCAAAATGAGCATTTTTTTTTCTCTCTCTGTATAAAATGCATCTTGGGATTCAGGGATTTTTTTCCTTTTTTTTTTTTTGGTCAATACTACCCATTTGTCAACTAAGTTTGTGTCTAGTAGTCTGTAAAAGAGTGTAGGGGTTTTTTTTTTAAGTAGTAGGAGGTTTGCTTTCATGTGCTTTTTAAGAAGTCTTTTAAAATTGATTAAATTAGAGGTACATAAATGAAGTTCTTCATAAAAACTTGTGTTTTGATTCGAAGGTTATTTAAAGTATTTTTATCCTGATTTAGCATAGCATAGTGGCACAGTGGCTGTAGGGCAGAATTATTCAGGCGATAATACCTGAACTTGTTTTATTGAATACTGAAGATGAACTTTTGAATTAATTTTAGAAATGAACTCAATATTCCTTTTGAGTTTCCAGATATAACTTCCTTATTTTATGGTCTATAGGGATGTGGATGCAGGTAGTTCTCAATGCAAAACTATGCAAGTAAAGTAAAAGCTAACTTTTGAGGACCTTAAAATTTCCCATGCCTTTTAAAAAATAATGAAATGTTCCTTGTAATCAGTTCCTCTTTCAAAAAAAAAAAAAGGGTAAAAATGAATGTTGAGTACTTCCTTCTTGCAGGTTTTCCATGATGTTGCCTATAAAGCAAAAGACCGAAATGATTTGTTGTCAGGAATTGATGAATTTTTAGACCAAGTGACAGTTCTGCCTCCAGGAGAATGGGATCCATCTATACGAATTGAGCCACCAAAAAGTGTTCCTTCCCAGGTAAAAGGAAAAAAAAGGGGGGGGGACATGGACACACCAACCTCCAGCAGAAAGCTATCATGATTTTTACTTTGAAAATGCTGTTTCCAAATGCAAGTGAATTGTGTACTGATTGTAAACTTTAGTAAAGCATCAGGAAAGCCCTCACATCCATTTGGAAGGAAAAGTAGATTGTCCATTTAAGTAAAAAACCAAACCAACCAAACAAAAACCCAAACCAACCAAAAAAAAAAAAGTTAAATCAGTTTCCTGCTGTGCTTTTAGGTAAATTGTGCGTTTCCTGTTGTGATACTGAAATGAGTTCATGCGAGATCTAGGAGAATTGGTCCGATATTGTACCTGAGTTCATATTATAAATTTTGTTATCAGTACAACAATGATCAGCAACAATACTGTAATTCTTATAAAAACTTTTATTTGCAGACAGCATTGATTGAAGTGTTTTAATGTATATTGGCTAATGTTCAGAGAATATTTATAAAATCAATAAAAATGGATCATGTTGCTCAGTTGTGATGCAAGCTTAGCATGAGAGCCAGGGGGAGGCTGGACCTCAGAGGGACTCTGGTTTCTTCCCTTTCTCCCTCTTTTTGCTACTGAGGGGAATTCCTGCCACCAGGATGAGAAGCAGGGTGGGGGGAGACCAGTGCTCCAGTGCTCTTGAGTCAGAAGGTTGGCATTGGTGTCGAATCCAGTGGTGGTTTGGGGGAGTGGGTGGATCGGAAGGGGTGACAGCAGTGCAGTTTATTCACAAATAACTTGAGGCTACCACTTAACTCATTTCCAAAATAAGCAGAGCTCGGGGGGGTTTTGGAAGGCAAACTCGGCTGAGAAGTTTATGAGGAGCTGGTGAGCAGCTTGCTCAATAGGGCAATGACTTCTCATTTATACTTCAACTAAATACTGTGGGCAGCATGAAGTGAGGTCAACTTCTGTTAGAAGCTAGAGGCTTCTGCTCTGGACATGACTGAGGGGAAAAAACCTGAAGATATCTAGGCCTCATGGTTGAACCTCTGCTGTGTCTTGAAAAGGTAGGCTTTGTCTCGACGTGTCTCAGCGACATATTTCTTGTAGAAAGAGGGAAGGTTAATACCGTTGTGCAAGGTACTAATAAGATCTTTTGGAGAGCGTTGTACAATTCTAGTCATGTGTACTCAACAAAAGATGAATTTGGCAAATGGAGGAGTGCTGATAAACTGGGAATATGAAAAAGGTTTGGAAGGCATAGAGTCTCTGCACGCTGTCTTTGAATTATACTTTCCTAGTGTAAAGGCAGTCTCATAGCTTGATTTCTTTTTTTCTTTTTTCTTTTTTCTTTTCCCCCCGTAGGAGAAAAGGAAGGTACCTAAATTTCCAAATGGATCTACTCCTATAGGAGAGACTCTCAAAGAAGAAGGCCATCATGCTGGACCTGAACTTGAGAGAACTGGAAGGTGTGTTCACTTCCCTAAATACCAGCTACCATAAAGAAATAAAAGTGCTAAGTCTTCACAGTTTTTAATGATGACATTTGAACTTTAAAAAATCACGATATAAGTGTCAGAGCGCATCCTTTTTCCTTTTCAAGTGTTGGATTCTTGCCTATAAATGCCAATCTGCTTAAAGCATTTTCAAGCCTGTGGCAATGTTTCTCAACACATTTGCGAAGGATTTCGTATAAGATGCTGCCTAATTTAACTAACTGACTTTTAAGAGTTGGGTTTTGATTTTTAATTGTCAAGAGCATGCAATTATCGTAATTATAGCAGGAATATACTATTTTCCGTATTGGGCTAGGTACTAGAAATTTCCATTAGTGCAAATCTGTTTTATTAAACATGTACGAAATGGAACAACAAGGAATATAAAGTGGCAAAAAATACTTCAGTATTGGTTAGATTTCAGTTTTGGTTAGGTTCCTTTTAGATCTAAAATAAAATTGAAGGAATTTCTTTCAGTTGAGTTGCATTGTTTTTCTCTGTTAATTCGGAAATACTTGCCAAAAAAGTCCCCAACATTGGAAATACCTGGTTAAGATTAAACCTTAATTTCTCATATGAGAGAGTAGAGATTAAATCAACTGAGAAATTCTGGAAAAGACGTTACAACATGGTTATCCCCAAAATAATAAACTTCCAAATGAAATGCATCTTTCTCATGCCTTTCCAAGAAGGATTTTACAACATTTGTGTTGATTTTTACCATTTTGGCTTTGTTGTACTTACTCTCTGCCAAAAGGCAAAAAGTGTGTGGAGCTGAGAAATTAATTTCTGCCCAGAGAACTAGCTCTAGAAGAGACTATTGTTTTTCTTGGAATATTTTTTATTTTTTTTATCATTCAAAATAAAATACATTTTGTAGGTGCAAGTTATACCTAGTATTTTGGAGTCTTGAAAAATCTTTGGAAACTGCCAAAAGCTTTTAGATTTCTTGCTAATAACCTATCCAGTTGAACTGACTTATATGTGTTTGGTTTTGTATTTCCGTATGTGGATTATCTCTATATTCCAGATGGAGACACTGTTAAAAATGATAGACCTAAAGTTATTTATGGACCTAACCATATATATGTAGAGAATTTGAATCAAAAAGCTACAACTACTTATTGGAGTAGCAATATTGAAGTATGTCAAAGCAGTGGTCTTGGTTGAGGTTTAGTGTATTTCTTCTGTTCCTTGTTTTGAATATCGTAAAACAGATTTGACTTAAAACATTATTGAGGTAAAATTGTTTGCAAAGATGTTTTTTCGGTATCTAGCCCATATACAAAAACACCTAGCCAGCTTTTAAAAATGTGGATAACCTGCTTGATTATATTTGGAATACTACTGAATTGGAATAGATAAGATTCTCATTTGTATGTTAAACTGTTATGCTTTAATCTGGATTATGAAATAGCTATTTTGTGCTGGCAATAGGCACTGGCAGTCATGTGTAGCCCATAGTTTTGAACTAGCTAGAATCCTTTAGTGTACAGTTTGACGAGTTTCATCTCACCTATTTAGGCTTTTTGGTGGTTTGATACTTGACATCCAAAGGAAAGCACCTTTTTTCTTGAGTGACTTCAAGGATGCATTAAGCCTGCAGTGCCTGGCCTCGATTCTTTTCCTATACTGTGCCTGTATGTCTCCTGTAATCACTTTTGGAGGGCTCCTGGGAGAAGCTACACAAAACAGAATAGTGAGTACAAAGAATGGTAGTGGCCAGGCTTTTAGACCTTCAGAGGCAAGTCACTGTGTGCATTTGTCTCATTTATTTATACTTGTATTTGAAGAATTTACCCACAGCACTTGATTAGCCTGCCCCAAAGCAGATCTTCCCCAAAAGGTAATTGCTGTGGAAAATGTGGGGAACCCATGTGAACAGGAGAAGATGCACAGTGGAGGTAAAAAAAATGTTTATCCTGCCTTATTGGATGAATGGCTTCATGAATTGAGAAAAGGCTTGCATTGCCTTCTTTTTTGGCTACTTAAAGATAATGAACAGCAGTAAAGGTGCACCATCCCACTAGGCCTACTTTAGGCAAAGTCAGAGGCTCAAGGTGGATAGCCGAGAACGTGTACTGGCCTTGAGTAGTAGGCCTACGAGGATGATAATGCCTGCAGGGTATGGGTAGCAGTCAATTGTGTATTTAAGACAGGATTTGTATATGCTTTCACTAATGGTATGTTGTTAACGGTAAAAAGAAAGTAGCTAAGGTTTATAAGCAGAAAATACTCTTCGTTGTAAGTGACTTGAATATAAACGATACACGTACAAAATTTTGGTAGTGTTGTGTTGGGCAGTAGGTAACACCAGCACCTTTTTAACCAAAGTATCATTGCGCTTTGGTTTTTGGAGCAGGGAAAGAATGCTTAACATCAGCAATGTTAATAACTTGGTGTTTGTGTTAATTGGCTTGTGAGTAAACTAGTTTGAAGTGTATTTTCTGTTTTTAAATCAATCATGGAGAAACAAGGCTCTGTCCTTTTGGGGGAGGGAAGCATGTATTCGGACATGTCCTTTATAAATTTTAAGATTCTAGTAAAGCTTGTGATGCTATAAAATTCTGCCCAATACTTAGAACAAGTTTTTAAGCTTGTACTATATTAAAATTTAGTTAACTATTTTATCTCTTGCTAGTAATGCTGTTGACTCTTTTTTGTTTATTGATGTAGCACTTCAAGCTGATAGCAAATACAGAAATAAATGATACCTTTTCTGTGTGCTGTTTTTGCCACTCTAAATGTAGGAATGGTTATCAAAATGTTGATGTAATTTTTGAATGTACGTCATGTGTAATTATGAAAATATGCTCCTTTTAAAGCTTGATTCTTAAACACCTTCTTTCTTTTAGCTATCTGGAATTGTTTGTGGGTTTGTTCCTGCCTTCAGATACTTGGTGTGCATCATTGAATATAATATTTAGTTACTGCACACACATGTTCAAGCACAGTAGCTGACATTGTAAGGTACACAGTTTGTGTTTGAAACCTTCCCTCACATTCCCAGAGGTCATCACCTCCACAGTACTCCTGTCCCTGCCACCCTGATCGAGACCCCCAAGGTTAATGCATTGACTAACCAAAAGCACTAATTCAAAGGTAGTGGAACGAGAGACTGGGATTATATTTTTTTTTCCTAATATAATGAACAAAGGACTCATGTTTTTGTTTTTAATAGCCCCAGTTCAGCAAACTTGCCCAGTTTTAGGCGCTTTCCTGAATTGGAGCTCAAGTTTGCATAAATATTGTTTTCTTAGGCTTGCATAATGGCAAAATAGCAAACACTTAAAAATTCCACCAGGAGCCCTTTAATCTGTAACCATGACTTCTCATAGTTGTGAATGGTGTAGTTAGCTATTTTCAAGTAACTTTAATATAATTTTAGTATCTAAAAAGTCCTGCCCCTCTCTTTTGAGGCGCATTGTAACTTTTTTTAAGAAGAAAATGTTACAGTAAAACATTTCAGTTCTTGAATTAAGTAGATACCTTACTTTGATGAAAAGAAATGCATTACCAGGTGGGACATTGGTTTACTGCTCATCTCTTTTTGGTGTCATGTATACATAAACCAATATTGTTTGGTAATTTCCCTTGCACCTCCGCCTGTCAGTTGTTTTTCTTTTGTGATGCTTGGTTTACTGATGCAGGTTTGATACGGCACACCGTATCATGTTTTGGTACAGGTATGTTGCAATATACATCTCTCTCTGTTTGCTTTACAGAGATAGATAATTGTTTCTGTAAACTACATGTTAAGTAACTTTTTTTTTCTTTTTTTTAATTTGTAGTAATTGTTGGTATGTTTTTCCTCCATAGCTAGCAGGATTAGTAACTTGTTCTCATGTTTTTGGATGGCTTTATGTTTCTCAGGAGCGAAGTTTTCAAAATCTTTTGTCCATGGTATTGTTACTGCAAAACTGTGTTAAGTTTCTCTTGTCTAAAACATCGATATTAATTGCAATGTTTTTACATCTTGTCTTGTTTCTAAGTTAATGCATCTTAAAATGGTATTTATGCAGATGTGATGCTAAAAGCTGACCTGAAAGGCAGCGTAGTTACAGCAGTTTCTTTTCCCCCAAACAGAGTGCAATAGAGTCTCTCTTTGGAGCCTCGTTAACTGGGATTGCCTATTCTCTCTTTGCTGGGCAACCTCTTACTATTTTGGGGAGCACCGGACCTGTTCTAGTATTTGAAAAAATATTATTTAAATTTTGCAGGTAAGTGATGTTTGTATTAGCTCGATGCACTTTCTGAATTTCTAGCCTGTTAGAATAGCTGTAGTTGAATGCAGATGTGTGTTAGCAGTGTATGTCCACGGAGATGTAAATGCAGCGGCAAGAGACTGAGAGATGGATGTGGTTTGGCAAAACTGTGAGACACCAGTGAGCCTTAATGAGAAAATCAGTGATAAGAAGTGGCTGGGACTTAAATAAAAGTTATGTTCTGACCGTATGGAGATGTTGGCTTTAGTTCTGCACGGGTAAACAGGGACTGATCTGCCCTCTAGGAGAAAGCATGTAGGTAGTTCTGGAAAGCTCATGCCCATGATGCTTCCCAAGCTAGGTGGTTGTTGCGAATGAGTGCTTTAGGGTCGCTCAGAGAATCACCGTCAAAGGGATTAGCAGAAATGCTTTTAATATAAATTTACAAAAGTGTGACTTAACGAAGTTCGATAGCAAGGTTCACTCTATTGCCTGCTACATGAATGGGATGCGCATGTGTGTGCACATATATATGTATGTATAGGAAATCAAGTTAGAATCGAGCTAGAATGAATGAACCAGAAGACCAGAAGCAAAAAGGGGTAAGGGACACCCTCTCGTTGAGTCACGAGGTCCAGAATAGACCCCCCCCTTGCTGGATATAATCCTAGTCCCAGACTTGGTCAAGAGTTTAGGTATGAAGGAGGAGAGATAAAGAGGAAGGGGTAAGGGAGACCCTCCTGTTGAGTCATGAGGCTCAGAGAGGATGACCTTGCTTTCTAAACTCTTTCTCAGAGAGGAGTCTAGGTGCAGCTCAGTCCCTTCCTAGTCCCAGACTTGGTCAGTGGTTTATATCTGAAGGATTTAGCAGCACTTAATCATAAATTAATTTAACATTTACAGAGTAATTGAATTGGATTTACTATAATTATAATAGTGACGTAAGTTGTTATAGGGTATTTGAATTAATTCACACATACACACACACACACAAACACAAAAGAGAGAGAGATATATATGTGTATATAGGGATAAATATATATATGCACCTGTTAAAAATTCCCCTTGGGTTCAGTGAAACAGTCACTTCAAATGCCTTGGCATTCCTCAGGAGGTGAGGGTTGAGTCTTGACGAGTGAAGGGTTTTCGACCCAGGCTTCCTTGGCTGCTTTCAGCGCTGATCCTCCCAACTTTGCAAACGTGAGAGTTTGGCGAGCTCTGAGAGGCGTCCCACTCTGCGGGAGATGCTGGGTGCAGCCCACTGCCGTCCGGGAGAGCTCCAGGGGCCTCTCTCAGGACTGCTGTTTATAGGGTCACAAGCTGATTGACTGTAGGCATTAGTGAATTTCCATTCTGGCCACAATCCGAGTCGGTAATGACTGGAATTCTCCAAATTCCAGTGATGATGATACTGTGTGTTGCTCGAGCTACGATTCAGATAAGGGATGTTCCAAGGCTGTTTTGCCGAAGCTGTGATTCAGATAAGGGATGTTTTTGCTGCTCTTGTTCCCAGCCTTGGCCAGGCAACAGGAATTGCCGGTACAATCGGCGTTATGCCCACCTTAGCTGTGAAAGCGTTCCTGGTACAGTCAGGGGATGCTTAACTGCCCAACTCGTTGCACAAAGGCTAAGGCCTTACAGGAATTCCTGAGATCGTAGCAAGGCCCAGAGAAGGAGACGGGAAAGGAACCACCATAGTAGTTGCACCCTCAGCCCTAGAAACACCTTGCAGTGTTGCTTTGCTGTGGTGGAAGGTGAGACAGAAAAGTTTCCGCTTCCTTCAGAAGTACTGTCGAGGATGAGAAAAGTGGTGAATACCTGTAGAGCTTGTCCTCAGCATCTGTTTTCAAACAGAACATAGTATAAGTGACTTTTGGCTCAGTTAATACTCCCGTTTCTTTCTCCACACAGGGATTACGATCTTTCCTACCTCTCCCTGCGAACTAGCATTGGTCTGTGGACTGCATTTTTATGCATCGTGCTTGTAGCCACAGATGCCAGCAGCCTTGTGTGTTACATCACTCGATTTACTGAGGAAGCTTTTGCAGCGCTTATATGCATCATATTTATTTATGAGGCATTGGAAAAGCTTTTTCATTTGGGAGAAGTGTATGCCTTCAATATGCACAATGATTTGAATAAACTGACTTTATATTCGTAAGTACCAAGTTTCTATCTGTCAGTAAAATATATAGGGGAAATATTTATAGTATAGAGACGTACCATTTACTAAACTGCAATGTGTGGTGCTCCCGGGAAGGGTGGGAGGAATGCTGGGGGTGGTAGGGGCATGAGAAACCTCAGAAAAATTCTATTCAGGATGCTGTGGAATTGAATTTTCTGTGTTAGCTATGGGTGGTTGGAAGGGAGGAGGGACTGAGACAATGCCTGCTTTAATTACGGCTTTATTAAAGGTCAACCTGGAGATTAAAGGTCAGACCAGGAGTTCTGCCTTGCCACTTCCACAAATCATGGTAGTTTACTGCACCTGGGTGAGGATTATTTCCAGGTAGCTGAGACATGGGGAGCTTCTGCAGCTTTCATGTGCTACGAATAGGGAGTTAACGTCTTTAAACAGTGTTGCTTTCTACTGTAATTATGGGGAATACTTGACTTTTAAAAAATTATTTTTTGAGAGAGAGGAGAATGATAGAAAATACAGTACAGCCGTACTTTTTTTTCCTTCCTAAGTAGAACTATTAGTTCTATTCGTCGCAGTAACTAGCAGTAAAACTATGAGTACAAAAATAACTTTATTTCATTTAAGGAATGCAATAAGCAAGCTCTTTAGGTGTATCTGTTCTACATTTGATTTATTTCTGTGGCAGTTGTGTCTTATCTACGTGTGGTGGATTGATGTTGGCTGGAGGCCAGGTGCCCATTAAGCTGCTCTATCACTCCCCTTCCTCAGCAGGACAGGGGGAGAAAAATAGGAGGAAAGGTTCGTGGGTTGAGGTAAGGACAGGGAGATCACTCAGCAAGGGCTGTCACAGGCAAAACAGACTCGGGGACAGTAATTTATTACCAGTTAAAATCAGAGTAGGGTAGGTGGTGTGCAGGTGTATCACTTCTGCATTAAAAGAGTTTGCTGACACGGTGAAATTAGCATTGAGCACTTTTAATACCATGTGTCTTGACACTGTATTTTTTTTAGTTTTTGATGATAGGATTGAATGCTGCTTTATCTTTTGCTACTCAGTGTGGAATTCCCAAGCTGATGCTACAGTTTCATGAAACGTGATGGATTGGGTTAGCAGCTCACACCTGCCAGGAGGAGGAGATTGCTAACTGTTGTTTTAGTTTGAGAAATTGCCTATTTCACATAGTTCAAACCAAATCAAAAGCAAAGCTGTTCTTTGATTCATCCTCATCACACAACTGTCAATGAATGATCCATATGTTCAGGGTCAGTGTCAGTAATACAACAGATAAAACACAGATAGATAATAGATATACGGCAGATAAAAGACATTTAAGAAATACTAGCTAGAACCTACATGTTTTTAAGTTGTCTTCTATTACTAATCCCCGAAAGTTCTAATTGCACCCACAGCAATATTTACCCTCCAGCCCCTGACACATGGGTTACGGAAGCCCAGGTTTCCCTGCTAGTGCTCCCCTCCCGTCGGAGACGTGCCTCCTCCAGCTTTATCTCTACCTGTGAGGTTCTCCATGGTCTGCTATGTCACACGCTGGGGAGGGATCCCCCTGTGAGGTCAAGTCCGTACACCTGAGTTCATGTCGTGTAAGGAGGAGGCTTGTACTCTGCTTCTTTCATAGAAGGTTGGGATAAACTCTGGTTTAAACTCTTGAGGATTTTTGAAATTCCTGCAAATGGCTGCATTTTGGCACATCTGGCTTAAAAGCATGTGAATTGGTGGTGGTGTTTTTTTTCTTCCTGTCAGATGTGTGTGTTCTGAGCCTGAGAAACCCAGCAATGAAACTTTGCAGGTGTGGAGGAATATGAGTAAGTCTGTGGAAAATATACCATGGAGTAACCTTACAGTTTCTGTGAGTATCTAAAAGCTATATATGTATGTGTGTGTGTACGTATGAAAAAATAAATACCCACACAGTACCAGTCTTGACGAATATTTTTCATCTGGTTTCTTTCTTTATTTGAACCTAGACTGTTTTCTTTAAAACTGTATTTTTGAACTCTTTTGTTCCTCCCATAATGCTTTAAGGAGTCATTGTAGTGGTTTGGATGAGTGAGTCCATGGCAGTAAATGCTAACATCGCAAAAGTCTGCTTGAGGTAGCTGCTTCTGGTAGGGAGAACAGTCGTCTTTCTGAAGTGCAGATGAATATGATGAGGTGAATAAACAGGAGATTGCTTACTTGAATTTCCTGGAAAGGATGAACAAATATTTTTAAGAAGATGTGAAGGTGGAATCTGCAGTCATAATGTGGTAGCGAACATGTTTCATTAGTTTGTTAGACATTGGTATAAAACTACAACAGAATCAAAGAAACTACCTAAATATTCATTGGAAGAAAATAATTACTTGGAAAATTGAAGATTGAAAGAAAAGAGGAAGTGCTAGTTGAAGGAACATGCTTGAAAGCATTACTGTCTGAACTGGGTATTTCATACCAATGTTTAATTTTGTGGATAGGTGATCAGGAGGAAAGTTACCGTGTGGAAGTGATACTGGCGGCTTTTACGAAGAAACATTTTTGCCGATCAGTAGTTCCTTCGGTGGGATTCAGTTGCCTAAATGCAGCTGTCTGCAGCCACTTTGCATACCCTGGCATTTGGTTTCCACCTACATCTTGAATGATTTGGACGTACTGTAGGTTTTTTGTTGCATTTGCTAGCTGCGTGTGCCTACTTTGGCTATCTCAGGGTATCTAAAATGGCAGGAGATACCCGTGTATGGGCCGTCCTTGTGTCTAGGCATAGACATTCACATGGAATGTAGGTGTGTTGTGCAGAAAAAAATACTGTGAAAAACCTTGAATTTTAGCCGTAGTGTTTTCTGTGTACCACCAATGGCTCCTAGTCTACCATGATCACTTAGGATGGCAGTTTCTCTTGGAGTTAGT